CTACATAGGTACATCCTAAGGTATCTACATGGTAGATATAAAAAAGGGAAAAATACTAAATATAAGACTAGGAATTAATAATCTATCTTTATATCTATCTATCTACTATCTATATATCTATCTATCTATCTTTATATCTATCTATCTACTATCTATATATCTATCTATCTATCTACTATCTATATATCTATCTATCTATCTTTATATCTATATATCTACTATCTATCTATCTATCTATCTATCTATCTATCTTTATATCTATCTATCTACTATCTATATATCTATCTATCTATCTATCTACCAATATGACTAGGAGAGAAAACCTAATCAAGCCCCAGGATATTTGATTAATCTATCAATTAATCAAATAATTTGACATAAAACATGGAGAATTAAATGTTTCAAAATTTTGGTTTCTGGAACCCAGTCCAAGATTTGTTTACAACTTTTGATCACGCACGCAATCTTGTAATTGTTTAATTGAGGAGCGCGAATTGGGTAGGACAGAAGCACGTTGTATTGTATTTAAGCATGCTAGAAAACATTATCATGGTTTGTTAAATAATTGAGGATGGAACGGGAAGGATCGAAAGAAGGGCAGGGCCAGGAAAGAACACTTGTAAAAGTTTGAAAGAAAAAGAAAACATGCTATTACTTTCGACAACAATTTAACCAATTAAACGTCCATTTTCTTCTTTTTCCCTTTCATTCGTGAAGCGTTTTGAATTAAAAAGTATCTTAAAACAACTATGAAAATTCAAAGATGTTTGAATTTTAGAACAACACACATTTAAATTAAGATTGAAGATTCTGAACGCGTTAGTCCAGGGTGAATTAAAAAGTAAAAGAACGAAGAAAAAAAAGCAATAGACAATCAAATTACTATTCTAGTTTGTGAGAATCAATTCAAGTACATCCGAATATATATTAAAATATAACACAAGATGGCAGTATTTAGAGGAGTTGCAAGTGTTCAAGTGGGAGGGGATAGAGGGGGGGGATATATGCAATGTACTTCAGGGGTGTGCTAAAATTTGAATTTCCGTTTAAATTGCGTTGTATGATAATTTGGAGGTTTGCAAATTTTAATGATTTCATTATGAGATGAAATAAAATTTTTATTCCTCCAAATTGTTTGCTTGAGTTGGTTAGGAGACGGCCACCTGTTCTGTAGGCTCAAGGCTAATCTATCCTCAGATAAACTGGTTTTAATAGATATACAAATCTGGACAAACTTTATCTTTCTATCTATTTATCTATCTATCCTTCTATTTTTCTATCTTCTTTTCCTTCTAATCTTCTATCTTTCTATCCTTTATCCTTCTATTTTTCTATCTTCTTTTCCTTTGAATCTTCTATCATTCTATCTTTCTACTCCCTACCTAGTTTAGTGTGGATTAAGGGTTTGTGGGGTGCACTCCCTACCTAGTTTAGCGTGGATTAAGGGTTTGTGGGGTGCATTTACAATTAAACATAAACACTGAGAGGGGTGGAAGGGGATATAAAGGAGAGGTAGAAAACAGATAGAAACCTTAGATAGATAGATAGATACATAGATAGATAGATAGATAAATAGATAGATCGATAGATAGAGAGATAGATAGATAGATAGATAGATAGATTTATAGATAGATAGATAGATAGAAAGATAGATAGATAGATAGATAGACAGATATAAGGGGATACAGATAGGTGAATACATCCGTAAAATAAAAAAGTTTGATGCAATTCCATAAAATTTATATATAGAAGACATTACAGGGAAAACTGCAGTGGGGAAGGAGGGGGGGGGGGGGGGCAACCCATTAGGGGGGGGGTTAAAGGGGGGGGTCACGAAATTGGGGAAGCCAGAATATTAAAAAACTTTCCCCATCCAATTGTTTTTTTGTGTATGTCTTTAACGTAAATATTATTGACAAAATGTGGTACTCTTTCAAAAATAAAGCTTGGATCAAGCCCTTTGTAAGTTTGAAGTCCAGTGCTGCCATAAAGAGGGTTGGTAAGGTTGATGCACAATTTTATTGTGTACGTGATACAGAAGTCTAGCTTCATAGGAACAAATCGACCGTTCTATGGACGAGAAATATCAAATATGTTCAACAATCAACACCCTCATTGCTAAATTAGCGACGGGTCCCTTTAAAGTGTAGTGTGTGGGGTAGTGAGGGATGTATGGGGTTGAGAGGTTGAAGGGTGGATGCTGAATTCTTCATAAAACAAAGTTTAATGGTTGCTCTAAAATGTGTTTAAATGTTATAATTTGAATATTGAACAATATATTATAGATATTTGAAAAGTGCAGATTACCCACGGTGCCGCACAGATACTTCATATCTAATAACTATCACATCTTATATTCACTTATATCTACGTATATTATACTAGCTTGGAAACCCAGCGTTGCCTAGGGTAATCCTAGTTACTCCCACCGTTTACCCGCGCTTGGTCGTAAATTCGGTTTTTGCTATTTTTCCCTTTGAAAGATAAAAAACAACCAAACAGACAGAGATTATTTCTTTATTTATAAATATATATATATATATATATCCGATTCTTTGAAATGTTGAAAATCCACCAATGAAAGCCGAAAATCTGCGAAATATTTTATTGATCTTTCAGGTATAAGCAAAAGCATAGGTCGTCAAAAACTGATTTCTAAAGGTTTCATTAAAAATGTCATGAACAAATTATTAAATTATTAAAGTAAGAAAAAGAATATCTGAACATTTTTTAATTAAATTATAGAAAGAATTAATGCTTTGCTACTTTTATTTTTGTTCAAACAAGCAATCATCAAACATGATATTAAAAAAACATTTTTGGTCCAATTTAAAAAATATATTGCAATATAAATATAAGATAATATTGGTAGGAAGGGGAGGCCGTTCAACTTCGAAACTGTTTATGGTTAAACATCATGTAGAAGGAAAGTTTATATTTCTCTGAAAAACATCATTGGTCCGTTTCAATCTTGATTGAAAACTTGTATCTGGGTCTTTAATTTAACTGCGTACATAATACGCACAGGGTGTCAAAAAAGTGTGTGTTTTTTTTGATGCGTGCGTCTCGGATATAAAATAACATTTTTTTCTGAATTTTTTAATATTTTCTAAATGCCTCTTGCTGTACAAAATGATCAAACGCCAAAAATAAACAAAAAAATGTGAATGCTAATTTTTTTTCTTCTTCAATTTCGAAAAAAAACTTTTTATGGACAGCTCAGATCAGACTGCCTGGGAATGGGAAGTAGAGCCTGTTTAAACGCCGAATTCGTGGGATTGTAAAAAGATGATTGCAATGGGGGGGGGGGGGACAGTAGAATCGGAGAAAATTTACATAATAAATAAGAAGGAATCAAAGAAAACTTTTTGTGTCCCTAAAGCAAATAGACATGTAAAATTATAAAATATAAATCGAACTCAATACGTTTAAAAGGCAGTAACAATAAAGCCAACAGACCTTACGCTACTGAATTTTAAAGGATTTTTAAATTTGCTATTTTGTGAATCTCGATTTTCTTCATAAAAATTGAAAACACCCCTTTTTTGTTTTTATTTGATCTTGTTGCCCCTGTTGAACACCTGTGTAAGGAAGGGAGAGGAGAGAGTAGCTTATCATGTAGTGTCGCCTGGAGCAAGCTAAACCTAAACCCAGAAACTTCATCTATCCATCCATCCTTCCATCCTGGAGCTAACTGAACCTAAACCCAGAAACTTCATCTATCCTAGAGGTAGCTGAATCTAAACCTAGAACTTTGATCTATCATTCTAGAGCTAGCTGAACCTAAACTTAGAACCTTGATCTATCCATCCTAGAAATAAATGAACCTAAACTTAGAACCTTGATCTAGTCATCCTAGAAATAGCTGAACCTAAACCTAGAACCTTGATCTATCCATTCAAGATCTAGCTGAACCAAAACTTAGAACCTTGATCTTTCATCCTAGAGCTTGCTGAATCTAAACCTAGAACCTTGATCTATCCATCCTAGAGCTAGCTGAACCTAAACCTAGAACCTTGATCTATCCATCTTAGAAATTAATGAACCTAAACCTAGAACCTTGATCTATCCATCCTAGAGCTAGCTGAACCTAAACTTAGAACCTTGATCTATTCATACTAGAGCTAGCTGAACCTAAAATTAGAACCATGATCTATCATCCTAGAGCTAGCTATACCTAAACACAGAACCTTGATCTATCCATCCTAGAAATAGTAGAACCTAGAACCTTGATCCAGCCATCCTAGAGCTAGCTAAATTTATTCTTAGACCCTTGATCAGTCCACCTTATAGCTAGCTTAGAACCTATCCACCCTAGAGTTAGCTTAACCCTATTCCTGCTGGGGGGGGGGGGGGGTCAAGTTGCCCCCCCCCTGTAGTTTTTTTTACACAACTCAAAAAGTATTGATCTGAGGCTGTTGAAATTTTCGGACTTTTCCTACATACCCAAAGCCCTCCCTTTAGGCCTAAAACCGGGCTTTAATACTAACTGCCTGAGTCCTCAGGCACACTGCCTGAATGAATGCTTTTTCCTGAAACAAACTAAATCTTTGTTTTGACCCACTTTCACTTGTCAGATTTTGATAAAATTTAGCTTTTTGGAAAGCCTATGACATAAGAAAACAGATTGCACAAGTTTTGCGAAAAAAAAATTGCAAATTTTTTGCAAACAACCTGTCAAAGGAAATTTGCACATTTTTAGTTTTTCTTGATTAAAAATCAGGTTATTTAAAATTTTGCAAACATTTTTGCATATTTGAAATGGCATGGTCAAGGGCTTTTCAAAAATGTATAATTTTTCATTTTTTGGACAAATTTTCTTTTGCAAACATTTTTTCTATATAACTGAATTTTGCGATAAAAAATTCAATTTTTGCAAATTTGCAATTTTTTTTGCAGATTCTAAAAGTAGAGCACAAGAGCTTTCCAATGATGTATCATTTGTCATATTTGGACATCAAACATGGGATTTAGAGGGGGGGGTCAAATTGACCCCCCCCCCGTGTTTCGCGACCAGCGAATACATGTGCCTAGTGATATTCTGCGATGGTTTGTCAGAACATTTCTCTCTATCCTTTGTACTCATTTTGACCGTCAAATAAAGAACTCAGGATTTATTCAGATCAGCATGTTCAACTATAAAATAACATAAATAGTGTTCTTATATTTTTACTACAGAAAAAGCCCATAAAAAATGACGAAAACTGGAAAATACAAGTAAATCAGAAAATACGACAATAATCTTGAGAAACAAGTTACTTGGGCGTAAAAAACTGTAGGTTTTGATTTATTCTAAATAGTACAATAATATTAAGTAACTCTAGCGTAAATCTTACCATATTGAGCCTTCACACAATATCACAAGAACAAAGAGACAAAAACATTGGCGAACATCGCCATCAAAAGTCACATCTCAATTGATCAGAATGTACGTTAGAGTATAAACAATACATATAAAACCTAGTTTTGAGCAGCTTTATTTTTATTCTTGGAAACTCCCCTCTTCATGCAGTACGAAGTCCAGGAGCGCTGCAGATATCTTGTAGGAATATTAGCACAGGGGCGACCTTTCCCTCATATCCCATATACGTGACTGGGTCGCGTAACACCCAGCATATCCTGGTTTTCAAGTACCCCAGCAGGGATAGGGTTAACCTAAGGCTAGAATCTTTATCTATTCATCCTAGAGCTAGCTGAACCTAAACCTAGAACCTTGATCTATGCATCCTAGAGCTAGCTGAACCTAAACCTAGAACCTTGATCTATTCATCCTAGAGGGTAATTGGACCTAAACCTAGAACCATCATCCATCCTAGAACTAGCTCAGCTGAAACTTAGAACCTTTACCTATTCATCCTAAAGTTAGCTTAACCTAATAAAATAATTTTCGTTCATCCTAGATTTAGCTGAACCTAAACCTAGAACCTTGATCTATCCATCCTAGAGGGTAATTGGACCTAAACCTAGAACCATCATCCATCCTAGAGCTAGCAGAACCTAAACCTAGAACTTTGATCTATCCATCCAAGAGGGTAATTGGACCTAAACCTAGAACCATCATCCATCCTAGAACTAGCTCAGCTTAAACTTAGAACCTTTACCTATTCATCCTAAAGCTAGCTTAACCTAATAAAAGAATTTTCGTTCATCCTAGATTTAGCTGAACCTAAACCTAAAACCATCATCCATCCTAGAGCTAACTGAACATTAACTTAGAACCATCATCCATCCTAGAGGTAGTTGAACCTAAACCTAGAACCATCATCCATCCTAGAGCTAACTGAACGTTAACGTAGAACCATCATCCATCCTAGAGCTAGCTGAACCTAAACCTAGAACCTTGATCTATCCATCTTAGAGGGTAATTGGACCTAAACCTAGAACCATCATCCATCCTAGAACTAGCTCAGCTTAAACTTAGAACTTTTACCTATCCATCCTAAAGCTAGCTTAACCTAATCCAAGAATTTTCGTTCATCCTAGATTTAGCTGAACCTAAACCTAAAACCATCAACCATCCTAGAGCTAACTGAACGTTAACGTAGAACCATCATCCATCCTAGAGGTAGCTGAACCTAAACCTAGAATTTTCATCGATCCTAGAACTAGCTGCATCTAAACCTTGAACCATCGTCTATCCTAGAGCTAGCTGAAACTAAACCTAAAACATTCATCTATCCTTGAATTTTAATCTATTTTTCATCACTTTATCCAATCCATCATTTCGCTTTTTAAAAGGAGAATTACAGGAAATAATAAAAAATAAAACGAAAATTTTACAAAAAGGTTTTTCTTGCTTTTCTTTGTTACACGTTTGGTTTAAATCATAAATATCTAGATTATTCAATACTCATATCTGAAAAGGGTAACTAATATTTTATGCTTTTTGTGGTGACATGTTGTTAATATTTTATATTTTAAGCGGATCATGCACATTGCACATGCATACGTGTGAAATGCAAAGATGAGACATATTGTGCAAATTTCAGATGCATAATTTAGCTCAACATTATGTCGTAAAATCAGACCCTAAAATAATGTCAAATGCATTACTAACATGCAATGATAATACAGGAAGTAATACTCGAGTCAACACATTTTTTTATATTTTTTTAGTTTCTTTTTTGTAGATATTTGTACCAAATTATAATCCTAGAAAGGAAACCTTCTTAATGGTATTTGTCATTGTGAGCCACAATTAGCATGCACTGTGTTCCAGTTTATTAGCATGCACTGTTTTCCAGTTTATGCATTCATCTCAAATATTTTTTATTCTTTTCTGCAGCAATGTCACATAAAGTTCAAAGAGCAAAAAAAACAAATATGTCTAAACAGTTTTTGATAAAAAATTAATTAAACATAAAAAAATCTAATTTAACGCCATTCAATGGACTTGTTAAAAACAGCAAAAAATATTCAATGAACTTTTGTTGTTTATCAATTTCCCGCGTGTTTTTCTCGCATTTTTTCCGGTCTTTTCCCGCCCTTTTTCTTAAAATTAATATACGGTGTGTAACCCATATTGTTAGGGTTATGAATACCAGGCTAATCACTTTTTCTTGTTAGGTTCAGACGCCGGGATAAAAACCACATTAGGGACAGGATAAGCGACACGGGGTGTCTGAAAATGTCTTATAATTTAAAAAATGAACTAATTCTTCGTTTAAAATTCTAATATTATATATCTTATATGGTTATTGATGTAAACCTTTAATATCTGATATTTAATATTTGATGTATAACAGAATTAATTAGCTTAAAATATCCAAGGTCTATGACAGCAGTTTTTTAAGATATAAGGATTTGAAAATTTCAGAAACAATTTTCATCCTTCTCGAAATATTTCAAAATTTTGAACATTTTTTAAAATTACATTTGAGTGATAGAAAAAGTTTTTTGTGACAACCTGTGAAGGGCGGTAAAACATTTAAAAACTGTGAAAAGATAAGATAATGTTGAAAGTATTTAGTAGTAAATAGACTCATGAAACTTGACTCTTCTCTGTGTGTAATCTCTGTATATTTGGAACATTTAACTTTACAGGCTTCCCTAGTTTAGCAGATAAAATAGATTTTGACAGATATGCCGGGATTACAGGGACTGTACGCGGTCTTAGAAAAAGGTGGTTTCAGTTTATTTTACCTTAGTCGTTTGTTATAAATTCAAGATTTTGCTTTTGAAAATTTTATGATTACGTTAAACAATATTTTTTCTTTTAATAAGAAATTATATCATGCAGACTAAAATATATTAAACTGCTTCGTTTTAGCCTGAATTTTCCAAATTACCCAATATCATGAAACTATACCCCCATTGTATAGTGTACAAAGTAACAATTTTATCAATTTTGCCAAAAATAAACTGCAAATTCTGTCTGATAGACTCCATGCAAAACTCTCAATTTCGCATATTCGCGACCCGGGGGGATAATTCGCAAGCTTGCAGCTGGGTGTTTAAAGGGGATGACAAGGGGATTTTTAAGTCTAATTAGAACCCGTTTGGAGGTCCACAAAGGACATCATCTGTACAATTTTGGGAGCATAAAGTTCCCCTAATTCTTGTAGCTTCAGCATATAAACCTTTGTTCTTAGCCTGCCTTAACCTTATCCCATCAAATTCATTTGTTATAAAATAATAATAAAATGGAAACCACGCTCTTTGTTCCGTGTTTTACATGGTAATTGCAATTCTAAATTAGGCAAGGAAACTGTAAAGAACTTTTATATTGATGTGAGGAGCAGGGGGGGGGGAAAGGCGGAATGGGGGGAGCATATAAGGGTGAAAGGGCTGTATTAGAAAGTGAAATTCAAACGAAAAATAAATCAGCACTGTTAGAAGAACACCAACAATTATGTTTAGAGCTTCGGATTAAATGATAAGAATTTCGAAGTTTAATTTTACAAACAAAATGCAAGTTTTTTGCGGTTTGCCAACAGTGGATTTCTAAAATGCCTACTTGAATTAATTTGACCTAAAAGTAAATATTGTTAGACTTGATCATTTTTTTATTATCTAAAATAAAAATGTAATGCAAAGATGATACTTTAAAAATGCCAATAAATTGTTACAAACTATAAAAACCTATTCAATAGTTTAATTTTACAAAAAAAATCTTTATAATTATTCTAGCTTCCTGGGATTTATGGCGCGGTGTGACGCATTTTTGACAACTCCGAATGACGCATATTTTTATGTGAGAAAATACCAGATGTATATTTTATATCTAACTTTATGATCTAAATGTACAGAATTAGACAAATTATTATAAAAAATACAGAGATACAATGTATTTATATTTTGAAAAAATATTTATATGTAAGTTTGATTTTATTGCACAGTAAAAAAAATAAATCGAGGCCAAATTTAAAGAATTTGAGCCGCAGCTTAAATATGAGACGCATCTCAAATATGATTGGTTCCACTTAAAATTGTATTTAATGTTTCAATTTTTAGGCCGGTGCTCAAATGAAACTGGTTTTTTGGCGGATTTGAGACGCGGCTCAAATTCATTAAACTCGAACCCTGAACTTTATTCAAAAAAGAAAAGAGGGAAAAAAATCTGAAACATGATTCTAGACGTTTTTGATATTTTGTGGGTGTTCATGACATCAATATTTTTCATACATTTACATTTTTCACAATTTGAATTTTGTAAAAAAATATACCTTAAAAAATTTGTTAGAAACACCAGTTTTCTATTTCATATAACTTTGCAACCTTATGATCCGAATCTTTGAATTTTTAAATTTTTTTTTGCGTGTTTATGACATGTATATTTTATTCAACTTTTTTGTATATTCGAATTTTTTTTTTTAATCCATGACATAGACAAAAAACATTAAGTAGTGTATAGACAATGGGACCGTCCCTTTGCGCTCGAATTCTGATGAAAAATATGCTTTTTCTCCAGCCACAGTTGTCTTAAAAAAGTAAGACAAAATACTTATCAATATCTAATAAGCTATTTAGTTTACCCCGGAAATTACCCAAATAAGTGAACGGTCCCTTTACAGTTCTAATTTTAACCCTTAATGACGGACAATTGTTTTATATTTAAAGCTTCTGTATTACAATATAAACGTACTTCCAAATAGAACCAACTTAAATTACAATCAAGATAAGAAACTGAAATTCTATGTAAAGAGAGAAAGAATGGAAATCTTATCTTTTATATATATATGTATAGTTCCCACACTCTTCTAGTTGTACCATGTATACTTATATCTATATCTGTCTGAAATCTGAATCCAGTATCTAGTATCTGTATATATATTTATATATATCTACAGATCCTACAAGTGTTTATATTAAACTAGTCATCTTCTATTGTTATATTATCAAGTTATCAAGCTTATTTCATCTTTCTGTTTGTTCGGACTTTTTTCTGTAATAAAATCATTGGCTTTTTTGTTTCTCTCTCTCTAACGCTTAATCAATATTTATGGATACTCGATCACTCGATCAATCAATAAATTAGTCAATCAATCACTGATTTACTCAATCGCTTACTCAAACAC